AACGGGTTCGCTTAGCCGTCATTTAAGTCTGTTTACCGAGTCGATTTGGTCTTTTGAACATTGAAAGTATTTTTTGTGCACAATTTCTGCCCTCGGTGGACCGAACCGCGATGAATGATAACCATATTTAATTGTTTTTCTCTAATTAACACAAACACTTGCACACAAAGTCGAAGAGTCCTCATAAATTGGGGGATTCGGCTGTCCTGTATTGCTGCTGTACCACTTTGTAGCATCATCTTTTTCCCTTTTATCCTACACTCAACACACACAACATGTGATCGCCGCGCCAATCTGGCCTGATTTGCTTCAGATTGTCCAAATGAACAGACCATGTTCGGCAAATGTGGTCACAGTCAAAAGTGTGTGCGTTCAGTAACCAGGGTCTACTTTGTGCCGGACGATTGCAAGTGTCGGAGAGTTGAGCAGCTCAGCTCGCAAAAGTGCTGCTGCCCCGAGGCCCACAGCGTCGGATCTCGCTGCCTCTCGGAGGAGACTGGCCAATTGGAGCAGAAACAGGTCTACTACAAGTAAGACATTCTGAACGTCGACAATCAAGCCCTACATTTCAGTATATCGGCCAGATTTGCCTACGGACTTACGGAATCTCGGTCAGGTTTTTCCATGGGTCGTCAAGCCTTGATGAACCGAGCCTGATATAGGGCTTTTGTAACTACTCGAAGTTAGGACCGGCATTGCGTACAGATGCAGAAACACAAATACATACACACACAAACATGCACACACAGATACAATCAAGTAAAAGTACCATGGCTAATATGGAAGGAAACTAGCCAAATTATTCTATATCTATATTTTTTCGTTTTTCCGTTATGAGTTTATATGAGACGTAAGATAGAACAGGAAAGTCTTCTTGATCTAGTCTTACTTTGCGACTTTTGCGAGTGGGAAGAGGTCTTAAGAAGCTGTCTGCGCAGGAGGCACATACTCTTGCCTAAACCATTATGTGGTCAATTATAATTGCCAAAATCAGTCGCAAAGTTTCTTTCCCTCTTGAATATAAACCAGGTAGTTCAAGGTGATTTAAGGACTGATAGTTTAATTATCCCATAATCAAAGAAATCGGGCCTCATAAAACTGAACCTGCAATCCTAGGTTAAAGCCAATGGTATCATTTGAATCTGCAAAAACTCAAATTATTGCGAAGAAAATTCTGGTTTTGAGGAATCTCTTGTTTCTTTATTGTTGAGCTTATTTCCTTTTCGACTGAAAGTGTTGTGTGAAGAGATTCTAAGGTAGGTTCCACCAAAGGACGACGGCGGATTCCTCTTGACCAGCTTTTGATTACCTTTACTGCAAGATTCGTGCTGACGCTGTTTCCGAGGCAATCTTCTTCGATTCAGGTAAAAAGGTACTAAGCTTTCGTCCGTCACATGACGAACATCATCAGAGCAAGGTATCATCGTCACAACCAAATTCAAGGTTTGTCTCTGTATGTTTAAGTGTATGTTTGTGTTCGCCTATGCACGAAATCCGCAGTGATGGGTTGTAACCCAACTTTTCTTCACATATATTATGTACGTATGGTATAAATTCATATCAATTTTTTGTTTAGCTATACGAAAACCAAGAAATCTATATCCCGGCAAGTCAATACTATAAGTTTTTAAAAATTTTATATCACATTATGCAGTACCTAGATGTTGTATTCCTAGTAGACGCCCAGATTTATCTATTTACACTAATGGGAAACTGGAGCCTGTGTTAGGTAGTTTGGTTAAGACTAGACTCAAGGGAAGTATAACCAAATTACATGACCTGATTAGAACCCTTTCTCGGCTATTTTCTCATGAAGACTTTCTCAAATTGCAGAAAATGTCGGACGGTTTGGCGGATAGGATGGATAAGATCTATAGATCACGACATGATAAGAAATTAAGGAATTTAGGCATTAAAATCAGTCATAGGAATCGTCGAAACAATAAACTTAGAACTATTTTTCTAGCAAATATAAAAGTCATTAATTTATACAGTATACGTTTAGATGCTAATGTTACGCTCGTCTCGGAAAGGGGTTTAAACTTTGCATTTAAAAATGAGCAAAATCATTCTATGCAGATACTGGTTGAGTTAATTAACTTAACGGACAAGCTGCCAGAAGAGGCTAAGAATTGTATAGAAAGAAAAATGATGCCTCATTTTGATGAAGTCAGTATTCCAAAGAAATCGTATGACTTGAATAAAGTTTCTAGATATTTGCACCAAAATGAACTGTTTGTTTTAAAGGCATATAAATGTGGTGCAGTGGTCATCATGGATAGGTTAAGTTATTGAGAAAAAAGGATGGTTCATTTAAATGACTCAGAAACTTACAGACTTTTACTGAAGGATCCCACAGAAAGTCTTAAGGCT